GGTGGACTCTGAGGATCCTGTTATATAACATTTGCTCTGCACATCATTAAGTTTGCTGCTTTTATTTTGAAAGTCCCGTCTATGTTGTCGAGGTCTTCGCAGTCATTCAGCTGCTTCTCCAGCGAGTCTCGTGTTACGTGAACGGACTCTAAACTCGCCCTGTGCCACTGCAGCTGCTGATCGTAGTTCTTGCTCGGCTCCGTAAATCTTCCCGTAATAAACCGTCACCAGCTGTGGTCCGGTGCTGCCTGGTCAGCTCGCGGGTCGGGACGGCAGAGGTCGGTGCTAGCTGACCGCCGCAAACCAAAATCCTGCTGCAGCCTTTCTGTTGGCGCACGGATGACAAGATTTTAATGGTCCTGTTTAGTTTGATTGGAATGAAGGGCCAGGCTGGTGTTGGTGGCGCTCTGAGAAATGTGATGGTTTTGTGGCCTTGGCGGGGAAAAACATACTTTTGAGCCAACGTGGGCCGCTGCTGGGATCCTTCAATATCAGAGCGATCATTTCACCAAAATTGCCTCACAGCCCGACAGTGTTCCCGGAGGCTGGGCCACTGCAGCTCCATCCACACTCTGCTAGTGCTGCTGCTGAGGCTGCTGGGCCAGTGATTGCTCAGTAGAAGTGCACAGCTCTGTGGCACGGCAAAATGAAACTGCCAATAAAGACGGGAGCCTCGTGCTGTGTCATGCTGCCCCGCGAGCACAACAGAAGCCACGGCGGTGACGGTGATATAAATTGTTGGCGGTGGTGTCACCATCAGTATGTTTCATCACCGTATATAACAGAAGCGGCGTAGTGGGACTGGCGTGTCAGCACTCTTTTGGTTGACAATAACAAAGCTGTCAGCGACAGCAGCACATGCATTAAAGAGACGGGCCACTGGGCTGCATGGGGCTTTTGTTATTTTATTTTGTGCACAGCCACCACAGTGGTTGGAGGCTTCAGGGGTTACGCCAAACATTTCTGTGCCAGATGGAGGATGTGCTCACAGCGTCGGAGGCCTTGAACACACTGTTTGAACTTATGAATGGAGGACAAGCAAGAAGTTTGTGTGTGAGTTAATAAATAGCCAACGTTTGGTATTATCAAGGCCTTGCTTATTGGGAGCTGAGTGTGAGTGTGTGGAGGGTTGGTTTCTGACTTTGTTCACCTTTGTGGTCTGTTAGAGCCAATATGTCCATACGCTGATGTTATTGGCTGATATCGGCCTATCACAGATATGCAGGTGTCCTTTAATGCAATGTAAGGAAAAATAGTTGCTTACAATAATTTAGAAAGGGTGTCATCATACAGTTTTGGGCTCCAATGTTTTTTAACAGTAAGTACCGTAAATTCTGGACTATTGAGGCACCTGAATATAAGCCACGCCCACTGACTTTAAAAAGAAAACCAGGTGTGTACATATACAGGCCGCACTTGTCTCTAAGCTGCAGGTTGAAACACGAGATATTCACACAGAAAGATGTTTTAAACGTTTAATTAAATATGTAGCGGTAACATACACAAATACGTAGAGGCTTTTTTCTGAACAGTTCCTGTAACACAGCTGGTTAAGGAAATAAAAACTACAGCAGCTACCAGGAAAAGTCACTGATGGCTATCTTCATCTTCCTCCTGCACTAAAACCACTAAAGTCGTCTTTAACAGCCTCAGAATCACTTCCTCAGTCTCTCTGTCGGTGTCGCTCTCAACGTCGCTTTGGTCTCGAAGCAAATACTTAAAAATCCATAAATTAGCCGCATCGTTGTTTAAGCCGCAGCGTTCAAAGCGTGTGGAAAAGGTAGTGGCTTATAGTCCGGACATTACGGTACAGTCTGCACCACAGCGAGTAGTCGGTGCAATATGTTGGTGGAACGTAAAACAAGGACGCAGCCGATAAATCGACAGCCGTGCAAAGCAGCATTGGCATTTAAAAAAAATAAAAATCCAGTATATATGTACTAACGAATTTGGTGAAACTGTTCCAACACCTCAGTACGCTGTTCTGGTTGGAAACTACTCTGGCTGGTGTTCTCAAATCTCTCAAATCTCACAACGCCATCAGAGCCACAATCAGGTGTTGTGTCATGTTCACTTAGTTGAAAGAGTGTTTTGTTTCAAAGAGGGTAAAAATGAAGGGCAGCATGAATATTGGCTAAAATTATAATCACAATTATTTTAATCAGTTGTGACGTCAAGATCATTCATCGCAATTATTTATTGATTTTAGGGAGTAAGTATTTTTATTTTATTATTATTATTTATTGGGATATTTCTGAGCGCATCCTTTTAAACATCGCAGCCAATCATGTTTATTTAATTGTGGGAAGCCAGAGTTGTGACGGAGATAAATATTGGATGAGCTGCGCAGCCCGACTGTGTTGTTTACCTCCAGAGTCCCCTTAAAGCTAACCAGTTAGCGTGCCTCTCTGCAGGCTGGAGCGCATTAGTGTTTCCCTTTTAACTTTGATCCAGCAGCAGCAGCAGCAGCAGCAGGGGGTTGGGAGGCAGGTAGCTTGTATTAGTGTATTCTAAAATGAATTTAGTGAGTGACAGTGATACACATCTATCTGTGCACCCTCGGCTACCCCCCTGGATGCTGCTGCATGCAAGTGTGTTGGTCCTCATCTCGCCCTGGTTAAAGGGTTATTGATGAAGGCAGAGATAAAAACACAGGCTTCATATTTCACGTGTGATCCGGGAGATAGCCGTCCTGACAGCCTCTCGCGCTGCTTTTACAGCAAACCTCATTCCTGGCGTGTCCTCCAGCGAGCCCTCTGCAACCCTCTCCAGCCACACCCAGCTGCTCCCGCCCGGCTGCTGGAAGGTTATCTGTGCCGTTGCTCCGCAGCCTCCTCGCTGAAGGCCCTAGTGAGACGGTGGAGAGGGGAAAGACAGAGGAGTCAATGGAAACAATGACTAAAGGGAAAAAATAAAAGGCACAGAAGGGAATTCAGGTCAGGCAAAACAGGGGAGGAAGCAGCGAGCAAGAAGGAGCCTGGAAAAAAAAAAAAAAGACATCTTAATGTTGAGTGATTTCTAGTGCACACTGTTATGCAATCCAGCAACACTCCAGCATCACCTCAGTGTGCAGCTTTAGTAATTACTGCAGGGTTGAATCACAGTTTCACTGAAAATGGAGCATTATAGGTTTCACGGCTCTGGTTCTGATTGCAGGCTGAAGCTTTACATTTCTACCTCGGCCTCCCGCGGTGCACGTGGGCAGCAGCCTCACCGGTGCGTCGGCGGCTCCCTCTGTCCTCAGAGCCAAGAGGTGAGCCATTGTTCAGGCGTCTGAATGAGTGTCAGTCACATGGGCAGGCCATTCAGCGCCCGTGTGCAGCTTCTGGCTCTTTCATTGCATTAGTGAGGGATTGTTTTACAGTTTCATGATTTTTGAAATATTTCACCGACAGTTTGGTGTCGCCTGCATCTAGACTTGGAAAAACCTGCGTCAAAGCTGCACTGTGGTGTTTTATTCTGACAAATACTTTTATTGTGTTTTTCGGTAGCACTGTTTACATCTGGTTGCACGTTAGCCGCCTCCGTCCTCTCTGCCTCTTATGGCTGCTGCTGGCATGTCTGCAGATGGAGTTGTGTGTGTTGCATTGTGCGCACATTAAAGCTGCAGTGGATTATTGGAAAGTCGAGAAAAATGCCAACTGCAGTTTCCTAAAGCCTAAGATCATGTTGCCAAAGAGCTGGGTTCGCTCAGCCAACAGTCCCGAACACGGGGCGGCACAATCACAACGATGAGCAGGATTCCTTTGATCAATATTGAGGTCATGATTTCAGGGGGAAAATATTTGTGTTGCGCTTCAGGAAAAGTCTTTCGTTTTAGCGTGGCGCTGCGTTCTCACTACCGTACAAACAGGAAGTGTAAACGAAGTCGTACCCTAAACGCCTCGCTGGCTGCTCGTTATCTAAGAACACGGTGGTTTCCAGACGCTCCCTCAACACGTCACAGAGGCCTCTAGTCTCCGCTCAGCTGTGGGGTCACAATTAGCTCCAAAGAAATGAAATCAGGTGTTCTACCGTCAGATCCACCAAGTTACATCTGAGTAATCTGATCTTAATGTACCGTTTTTTATGAATATAGCGCTTTTACCGTCAATATCGCAGTTCGTCATTTGTCTGTGTGAAGCCAGAAATGTAGTCGTGAATATTCGATTAATTGTGCATGTTTCCTGTTTCATCAGATAAAAAATGATCAAAGCAATAAGCCTTAATGAGAGAATGCTTTACATGTTTATCACCAAACTCTGAAGCATCTCGTCGCTAAAACCAAAAGGCGCTGCAGAATGGAGCTGCACGCCGAATAATTTCTGATTTTTTTTTACTTTTTTTTTTAAATATATAAATCCGGGTCAGAACCAAAGGCCCGATATGAGCCTTATGCAGATTCTTCTGTTCTCTTTTGTGTTTGCTTGTGTTTTTAGCTTATTATATGTTTAAATTGTATATTTTGTAGCTTATTATATGTTTAAATTGTATATTTTGTAGCTTATTATAGGTTCAGCTTAAATACTTTTTAGTGAGTATATTTTTCAACTTTCAACAAGGGTTCAGGAGAAACTCAACTTCAGTTCTTTGTATATGTACTCATGTGTCAGAACTGACAGTAAAGTGAGTTTGACTTGTCAACTGTTAAATCGTCGCTGAATATTTTGGTAATCGATTTATTGTGAGAGGTGTTTTTTTAAAGGAAAGCTTTTCTAACAATGTTTTGTTTATCAACCTCTATGACAGTAAACTGATTATATTTAAATTAATGTGCCGTTAATCCGGTAACGTTCTGAATAGAGGCAGGTTTTGCATTAACATAACGAAATAATTCAAATTTAAAATGCATTTACTACAAATAAATCTTCTCTTTGGAGGTCTGAGAGAACAGAAACCATGGATCTTGTGAAGAGTTTGTGCTGCGTTCTGTCCTTTCTTAGACATGCATACGTGACTTTTAAAAGCATTTCACTTTTTGTTTTCTGTCTAACTGAGTTTTGAACTCCTTCCTGCTGCAGGTTCTGAGCCCATGGTCCAAAGCCCCGACTGAACGTACTGGTGGTGCAAACAGACTTACTACTGTGGTGAGTGATCTGCAGCCGGGCCGGCTTCAAAACGTTTGGACCTGCTCGAGGTCGTGAAGACTGAACATTAAAAATCCGTAACTCTCAAAAATCAAGGCAACCTGGATTTTTCTAGCTTGTCCTTCAACAACAATAGCATCCGAATAATCAGTAAATTACCATAACCGTCTTACAGAAATAGCTTTTTGTTGCTTGATGATGGGAAAATGAAGGTCGTCTTTGTGTAAGTTACTGGACACAAATCAATGATAGCTTTTACGTAATATGAAGTGTTCTGGTCAGACAGATGTAGCCTGTGTTCATCATGCAGTTCAGTGCCGATGTATTAAAGGTTCATATAGACAATTAGTAAATGCTTTACCGACTTTGCTGGTTCAAGTAAATGGATGAACCCCTGAAAGGCTGTTATTTAGCATTTTGCTTTAATTTAAATGGACAGCAAAGAAGTCAAGATGAAAAAAAAGCTGAAAGGAGGTGGTATGACACAACACTGGAATCAGAAAGTGGACGTCACAGATTCATGGTGTGAGTCCGTTTGGCTGCTGGCTGGTTTGGTTTCACAAAAACAAATGAGGAGAAGCCACGTGAGAGCATCGGTGCTGCTCATTGGTGGAGGCGTTCTGTGTGTGTCCACCAAGGCAGAAGGTGCTCGGTTGTGGTCCAGGTCAGACCTCGGTTCACTCTCTGGCCATCTGCTAGCATCTGTTGATTTTGGGCAGACGTCGGGGCTGTAGCATGACACAACATTCAAGCAACCAGTTCGGTGCATTTTCAGTACAAGAGTTAAGACCTGACTTTCAGGAGTTAGACATGGAGGTTGGATTACGTCCCTGCCGCGGACAGACCGGCCCAGGGTTGGTTTGTAAATGGACCTGCTTCCTCTGAGGCAGCGGTTCTCAAACGTTTTGAGCCACGACCCCCAAGATAGCATAAGTTTGTGTTCACGAGCCCTCATTTTGAATTTTTAATGTATCATGAGTCATAACTTTGTTGTTCAGGTATTAATGCGTTAAAAATGAATTCCACAGATTCATCTCTTTACATTAATTTTCTTTTTAATGAATGAATGAATTGGATTAATTTTACACAAATTAAAGTGAAAAAATATATAAAAACAAAAGAAAACAAGTTAAAAAGAACAAAGAAAGAATAATAATATAATCAAATCATAATATTAACAAGTTCAAAAAAGGAGTGGGAAGAAATAAACACTTTTAATTCTGACAGCCCTGATACTCATTTATTTGATAAATGTAGGCTGTATTTTTATTTTTATTTATTTTTACAATGATCTGGCGACCCCCTGACATTATCTTGGGACCCCCATGGAGGTCCCGACCCCCAGTTTGAGACCCACTGCTCTGAGGAGCGCCGGTGCTCTTTTGAGTCACATCCAGCAGAACAAAAGCAGAAGTCGGTTTTAAAAATCCCCTGAACGGACTGAACCACAGGTAGCACCGTGGAGCACGTTTCCCATGAACCCTGCTGCTTCCTGTATCCCCTCCACTCCCCCGTCGTCTTATTTTACTGAGGAGAACAAAAACACGCTGGAAGTGAGTTTATTTTCGCCCTTTCAAGTTTCGGCGACTTCCACTGGAGGATCGACACCGTCTTCCTGTTTGGACCTGTTAAAGAATCCAGCGGGTTTCCTGTGAACTCTGCACACAACAAACAAGCAGCAGAAGAGCCGCAGAAGCTCCGAGTCTCTGCGGTGATGCTCGCTGACAGCGTTGAACCACGATGCTGTGGCAGCTGCACGTCTGTGGCGGTTCGCCGTCTTAACGCCGGCTCAGCCCGATTGGAGGGCGTTGTTTTCCTCGCTGCTCGTCTCATTCATGACGTTTCGACTCGCTCTGGGTGTCATTTACATTAACAGCCTATAAGTTCTCGTGCATGGTTTTCATCTTTTGGTAGCAGCGACCGAGAGCCGAGCCGTTCTGCGTACAGCGCAGGAAGTCATTTTTTATTGCGGTGTGATGTGAAACAGATGGGTGAAGTTGATGTCAGAGGCGCGTTTTGTTGTCACGCTGAGCGAGGTCCGTTTGGTTAGCAGCTAGAACCTCCTCATGTTGGCTAGCGTTGGTTTGTGCCCTGCAGAAACCTTCCAGCAGCAACTTTGCCGTTAATTTCACGCCGACTCCTGGTGTCGTACGAAACACGTAGTCGGTGTTCGATGACCTCGAAGCGGCGTCGCTCTCATCTTCCCCCGTGTCAGGTTATCTCTCTCGTTTCTGAACTGTGAAAAGTGCCGGCCTCCTGTTTTTGAATCGTATTTTTTTATTAATGCAGTTGAGCAGAACACTGTGTTGCTCTCACAAGGCTGTTGTATGTAACAGGAGAAGAAAGAGGCCTTTGTTCTGTAATGATTCAGCCCCCTGTATTGATTCAGTGCAGCGGTTTGAATAGGAATCAGCTGGAGAGTGCTGCGCCTCCTCCACAATGTGCCACTCTCAAAACACACTACAAACACTTCTGGCGCTCCTCCACCGGTGCGTCCTGAAGGAAGCGACACATTCCACGCCTCTCGCAAAGTGCACGTCCCTGGTTAACCCGAACGGCCGAAACCCTTCTCAGTCTGGGAGGAATAAAGGGACAGAAATGGAGATAAACACAGATAAGGCCGGGGTGTTTCCATTGGTAGACATCAACAGTTTTCTGTCTTGGAGCTGCACAGTAGAACAACCTCTGGGTGAAGAATGGTCACTTGTGGTTGTTTATAATTGTGTTGCAATCAAATTTAAAGCTGCATCAGGCCCTCTGGTATTACTGAGGAGTCGGGTTGTGTCCGGTTCAGATATCCTGAGAGCTCACATCAGGATTAACACGAAGGCTTCATTCGACCGTCCGTCTTCTCTGCATGGAAAAGCTGACGACCATCCTTCATCTGTTTAGATCCAGTGCGTCCGGAGAAGTCGTTGCGGTCCTGTTAGCTGTTAGCAAGAAGCGTGTTTCTATCATGTTTTTATATATTTTTTTTAAAAATCACTGTTTGTTGCACTAATTTGAGGCGGTTCTTGACTTTATGGAAAACAGTTCATGTGGGATGGAAACACCTTTGATTGTCTTTGTCTCTACATAGCATGAAACAATTCCAGCTTTCCCAGATATGTCTCCTGAACACTTCTCTGGGTTTTCATTCTGGCTTCTTCCCCTTTATAACCTAGAGCGCCACCTCCTGGGGACACTGATTTCTTCTACGATCCTGATTCACATTTGCATTTTTTTTGTTTGACGATTACGTGAACGCATGACTAAAGAGAGAGAGAGCGCGGGGAGAGCAGGGTGTAAGCCACAAATACATCAGTGTGTAGTAAACACTGACACCTTTACGCCTCGAGTAGCGTTTTGGCTAGCTAGTCTCCATGTCTGACACCGACACCGTCTTCAACCATCTATACAAGGCGAGGTTATTTAGGGTTTTGCTGTCCACATGCATCCGTCTGTGGAAGACCGGAAAGATTACATGATAAGACATCGGTAACGACGCACAATGAAATATATAAGGAGTCAGCTATGAACCAGGCATCACTAGGGTGGAGCTACAGAGGCTCATTTTGTAGATGATCCATCTGGTCAATGGCAATTTGTAAACTTCCTGTTCTCGTCCGTAATAAAAGGTTATGCGGCATGATCCAAAGTGAAAATGAAAAGAAGCTGGAAGCTGTTGTGACTCTCTTCCACGACTGGTTCCAGTTGCTAGCCTGTTAGCAGTTAGCTCAGTAGTCACCAAACCTTTAGCTCTAAATATTTCATGAAGACGAGCCATCGAGCTCCTGTTATCCGTCTAGCTCTGTTTCTTGTATAAAGTCAGGGCTTAACTAATTCCTCTCAGTCTGCTAAACATCACATTCAAGCAGCAGCGTTTTTCCAACAATAGCAGGCTTCAGGCCAGCGTTATCAGGCCACTTCAATTAACTGAATTGCTGGATGTATGTAGAGCTTTGCAGTGAACTGTCATGGTGACAAAAGCCCAGGAAGTGGAGCCCGAGCTGACGGCCGACTGCTGCACACGTTAAATAACCTCGTTAGATGTGTGTTTATGGATTAACTGACCGTTCAGGTTACACGGTTTGTACATGACTCATTATTAGTAATTGTATTAACAGTGCTTAAAGTAAACCACATTTATTCTCCTCGGTAGTGAGGGAGCCTCCACAGGTAACGGAGTTCAGCACGTCTCACTCCCAGGACTCCCGCCTCGCTCACCACTACTCACGGCCACCCGACACCTCCAGCTGTCAATAAATCGGCTCATCCTATTTGTCCGTCGCACTGCCTCCTCTCTCTCTGTCTGTTACTGGAAATAGACGCTCCACTGGTTCTTAGGTGAGGGTATGTGGATTAGCGGCTTACTACAGTAAAACCATTCAAAAAACCCACAGTAAACAAAGGCCCTAATCTGGGACGTCAAGTGTAAAGCATGGAGACACAAGGTTCAGGCCAGAGGCGACCATGACAGTGTTCAATACTTTATGCTGATTAAAGTCTCGATATGAATGTACAGCGTTCCAGCTGTAGCTTCCAGGTCTGCAGGTTGTTGTGGTCGTTTTGTGGTTCTTTCTGGTGTTGTTTGGTCTCTTGTCATTGAAGTGTTGGTGTTAGCGGTGGAGCCCGGCACCGTAATGGTTTTATCACCTGTAGCGCTGCAGTAAATCTGATTCCTGTCCCATTATGGAGATTGCAAAGCCGGCTGTAGCCTTGACTTCCTCCAGATCTGTACATCAGACTTGACCTTCTAAAGAGATTCTCAAAGTGAGCGGGATTGTGACTTAGGCTCGGCCTGCTAATCTAAGCCGGAACGGCAGCTCGCCGTGAGATAACCGCCGCTGATTCAGTGGCCCTCGCTGACCTGCTGCATTCAGATGGACACGAGCTGCCCGGAGCAGGTTGAACTGCCCGTCAAGCGAGGCTAGCTGGCAGGGCCTACATGCTACCATCTGTCAGCGACAGACAGCTAGCCTCGCTGACCTCGCATAGGCCATGTGAGGCAGGGCTGCGCT